TCAATGGGAAAACAGATTAATAAATTGTGTTAAACCATAGAATGGAATCAGTAAAAGGGGGGGGGAGTAATAGTGAACTCAACAACACAGTCTGAACAAGCAGTATCATTTACTAGGGAAGACAAAAAATGGAGTTCAGGCCTGACCAAGTAGAAATCCCTAAAGGGTTATACCCTAGGAGAACCCTGAACCAGAAATAGTAAGCCTTAGAAAAACTAAAACCTAGACTTCAATCAGCTCAGTCCATTAAGGTGATCTGATCCTATTCTAAGTGTCATCCAGAAGTTAAATCATCTCTGGAAGATCATCTCATTCAAAGCTTCTAGAACTTTTCATCAGAAATGTTCAAATTTGATAATTACTGGGCATATCAAGAAACAGAATCAAGAAAAAAAGACATCATCAACAGACCTTCAAATTATCCAGATGAGAGTTATTATTAGACACAGGCTTTAAAATAACAAAGTAATAAATTCTTTAAAAGATTATAAGATGAAGAATTTAGAGAATGAGAATCTATAGAAACGGATGAAACGGACATTCTAAACCCAAAACATGCACAATAAGTCAGTGGATGAGTTGAACAGCACAGTGAACACAGCGACAGAGAGAATGGGTTGTATTTGTTATCTATTGCCACATAACAAACTACCCTAAAACTTACTGGCTTAAACTACAACCATTTATTTGCTGACGATTCTGTGGGTTAGAAATTTGGGCAGGGCTCAGCTGGGCCTGTCCCACATGGTGGTCACTTGGCTTACTCATGTGTTTCCAATCAACTGGGGGTCATATGGTCCCAAAAGGCCTCACACACCTGTCTGAGGGCCTCAGCTGAATTAGCTGGAATGGCTAGAAAGGCTAGCCCTCTCTGTCCATGTAGTATCTCATCCTCAGGGCAGCTTTCCTGGGCTTCTTCTCAGCATGATAGACTCAGAATTCTTGCAGAGCGAGAGCTGAAGGTACATGGATTTTGAGGCCAAGCCTCAGAAGTCATGTAACATCACTTCTGCCTTATTAGTAAAAGCAAGCCCCAGGGCCATCCCAGATCCAAGAGGAGGGGAAACAGATTCCATCTCTTGATGGGAGGAGAAGCAAAGAATCTGTGGTTATTTTTAATTCCCAGGGGCATGGAATCACTAAAAGACTGAGGCCTAATCATAGGATTGTAGAATGTTTCTCCTCCTCCCATACATTACCCACCCCATCAGTCAAACTCCTGTATAACAGGGAGTTACAGTTAAAAGAAAAGCAAGGTTTAGACCTTTTTTAAGAACGAGGAAACTCAAGACAACAGGGGAGATGAAAACAAGGGCACAGAGAAGATTTTAGCCTCTTACTCCTATAGCTATAATCTGCTAGTCAGAGAAACATAAAACCACACACTAAACGTCTGTTTACCTCATTTCCTTCTACCTGACACATCATGTCCAGATTTCAACAAAAATTACAAGGCATGCTAAAAGGCAAAAAAACACATTTGAGGAGACAAACCAACATTATAACAAGATTCAGTTATGGCAGAGATTTTACAGTTATAGGAAAAGGTTTTAAAATGACTGACTAATATTTTAAGAGCACTAATGAAAAAAGTGGACAACATGCAAAAAAAGAAAAGACAAGTAATGTACAAAGAGATGAAAATACTGATAATTAAAATGCTGGAAATAAAAAACACTGTAACAGAAAAGAAGAATGCCTTTGATGGGCTCATCAGCAGTCACAGCCGAGGAAAGATCAGTGTGCTAGAAGATGTCAACAGAAACTTGCAAAAATAAAAGCAAAGGGAAAAAAGAATGAAACAGAATATTCAAGAACTGTGGAACAATTACAAAAGGTGTAACATATATCTCAGGGGAATACCAGGAGGAGAAAAAGGAGAAAGTGAACAAAAGAAATATCTGAAGTAATAACGGCTGAGAATTTTCCAAAATTTTGACAGACAGCAAACCACAGATACAGGAAGCTCAGAGACATGAATCAGGACAAATACAAAGTTCGAATCCACCAGCCGCTCCTTGGAAACCCTACGGGGCAGTTCTACTCTGTTCTATAGGGTCCTACTCTGTTCTATAGGGTCGCTATGAGTCGAAATTGACTCGACGGCAACGGGTATATGGATTGTTTATTATTAAAAAAGAAAAAGAAAACCACAATGAGATATCACTTTATTCCCACTAGGATGGCTAAAAGGAGCCCTGGTGGTGCAATGGTTAAACACTCGGCTGCTAACTGAAAGGTCAGCCATTCAAACCCACCAGCCACTCCACAGGAGGAAGATGTGGCCATCTGCTTCCATAAAGATCCCAGCCTACGAAACCCTATGGGGCAGTTCTATTCTGTCCTACAGGGTCACTATGAGTCGGAATCAACTCAATGGCAATAGGTCAATGGGTAGGATGGCTAAAATTAAAAATAAACAAACAGAAAATAACAAATGTTAGCAAGGATATGGGGAAATTGGAACCCTTATCCACTGCTGGTGGGAATGTGAAATGTGCTGCCGTTGTGGAAAACAGAGTGGTGGTTCCTCAAAAAGCTAAAAACAGAACTACCATATGACCCAGCAAGTCCACTCCGAGGTATAAACACAAAAGGCTTGAAAGCAGAGATTGAAAAGAGACTTGTACACCAACGTTCACTGCAGCACTGCTCACAGTCGCCAAGAGGTGAAAACAACCTAAATGTCCGTCAGCAGATGATGGATAAACAAAATGTGGTACCGACATACAATGGAATTACCACCATGCCAACAGAAGAAACGAAGTCCTGATACATGCTGCAGGACGGGTGGAGCCTGAAGACATTACGCTGAGTGAAATAAGTCCATTGCAAAAGGACAAATATTGTACGGCCTCCCTTATATAAAAAGACAGAAAAGGCAAACGTATAGACACCAGTTTATTAGCGGTTACCAGCGGCAGGAGGGAGGGGGAGAGGAAAGTACTGCTTACGGAGTACTGAGTTTTGGGTTACGGTGATAGAAAAACCGAACTGATTAAGGGTTGGGTTGCACAGCCAATTAAGGTCATTGCTGTCAATAAGTTGTACACCTACTAAAAGTAGAATTGGCAAAAGTTGCGTAATAGATATATTTACAATGACAAAAAAAAGTAGCTGCTGAGGCTGCTTATGTACAACAAACACCTCATGGGATTTGGTTCCTTGATCGGGAGGTTTAGAGTCATGGTTTCATGGAACACGCCAGTCAGTCAGCCTGATATCATGTTTAGCGCCTCCTAGTTTGTTGCATAGCAGCACCAGTGCCCGGGGTCTTAAAAGCTTGCAAGTGGCCATCCCAGGTATAACGACGGGTCTCTACTCATCTGGAGCAACAGAGGAAGGAGAGTCAGGAATAGGAAGAGGAAATGGACTGTGTGGCCCATTGCTTCCATAAACAACTGCCCCCTTTGCCATGAGACCCAAGAACTGCATGGTGGCTGGCTACCATTACTGAACATTTTGATCAAAGATTCTATAGAAGAATCCTGATCAAAAGGGGGAAAATATAGACCAGAATTTCAAATTCTCGTCGACTCCAGATTTTCTGGAGCCATGGAAGCTGGATGAACCAGCAAAACTACTGCCTGAGATTATCTTTACACCTTAAACCTTAAACCAACAATGTTCCCTGAAGTCTTCTTTAAACTAAACGATAGTTTAGCTTAACTAGTAAAGAATGTCTGCTTTGAGCACTGTGCTCTTTTAAGATCTACCCATATGGGATCAAACTGACAACAGCAACTCGAAAGATCAGATAGGAAACTTGGGGGGCGGTGAGTTTGTCAGAGGAACAACTCAGAAAAGGAGGGTGAGAATGGTTGTACAACTCGAAGAACGTAATTAATGTCAATGAATTGTAGAAATTACTGAATTGTGTATGTTCTGTTGTGTGTATTCTCAACAACAAAAACAAATTATAAAAAATTATAATGATAAATAAAAATTTAAAAAACCTGTGATTTATAGATATAAGAGCCACAGCTATACCGGAGAGGGCAGGTTCTTCCAATAATCTTTCCAAGGTGAAAAACTTTAAAGGAGATTCACTGGGCTGGCAAACACGTACGCCAGTCACTCTGAAGCCAAAATTCATTCTGCTGTAAACAGGGTTACAGCTGATGACTCCGCCCCTCTCAGCTCTTGCTGCTGCTCCCTTCTCGTTTCCCTCGCTAATCGCTGGCAAAGGTCAATGCTGGGCAAGCCCTGAATTTCCCGTGAGTCTGCGTGACGGCTTCCTGCTCTGAGCAGCCCTTCTTCTGAAAAGGGGACCCTCTGTAATTTCATCTTGATGGCGATGCTATAGGCTGCCATGATTTCAATATGAGTAACAAGCAGTGCCAACACAAAATTTAAACCTTTAAATTACGTTCTCAGACTGCAGAGGCTTTATCACTCTTAAGACACAGCATTGTAACCACCACCTACAGTTGCTGCCAATTTCCCATCACCGTAAACAAAACTCACTGCTCCCTAAACAATGGCTCCCCCCAGTCCCCGAATGTAATTGATATCCCTAAATTGTACACCTGAAAAATGTTGAATTGGGAAATGTTGTGTTATATATACATTTATAATAATAAAATGTATATGTATGTATGTGTATGTGTGCATACTGCATATATATGTGTATATATATACATATATATAAATCCCATACAGCCCTATGGATCACAATGGTCCAATTCCATCGTGCATGGGGCACCCTCATGAGTTGGGGGCAGCTCCCAACAACAAGCCCTAGGCAGCTACTGAGTACTTGAAATGTGCCCAGAAAGAATTGAGATGTAGTGTGAGTATAAAGTATACATTGGATTTCCAAATTTAACACCAAAAAAAAAAGTTAAATATCTCATTAATAATTTTTAGACTGATTATATGTTGCATTAATAATATTCTAGGTTATATTGCATTACATGAAATACGTTATTAAAATTTATAAAAAGATACAGCATTGAATAAGGCAATATAAAACAAGAAGCAACTTTCGAAATACCTTTATTTTTCTCTTTGGGTGGTAGTCCCATCCCACATTTCACCTGCTGTCCCATTTCATTTGGATTCTTCTGCCATCTTCACTCCTTCATGATGCGTTTCATTCCTCGGATTCTTCGGTGTGTGTTACTGTCAATGTTTCTGCTGTATTAAAAAAAATTAACAGGATAGTCAGCAATCCAAGGAAATTTCATCAAGTTCTTTGAACACATCTTACATGGCCTACCACTGGCAATTATTTACTGACAAACCAGTTTGGTAGGTGGCCTTCCACTACCCTGTGTTTCTCAGTTCAGATCTGAGACAGAAGCCCTTTGAAAGAGTAGAGGCTGTCTTCCTACATTCGTGTCCCATTCCACAGAACGTACCATTGAGAAGGTAAACACTATGCCCTATAGGAAAGTGTCAGTTGCCCAGACACAGACTTGGTTAGGGTCACGGCATTCCAGACCAAAGAAAAGTTTGGGTAGGCTTCTCTCTGCCTCTTGCTCTTCCTTATCGAGTGCCGCCTCCAGGAAAACATTAAGTAAATGTGGCTAATGCATAATGAAAAGACCTGTAGGATTCCCATATAAACATCACTTAAGATAAAGCTGATCGTTTGGAACGTTTCTTTCTTGAACCTGGCGACTTGCTCACATATAAAAAGCAACAAGCAAGCTAGGGAGGCCTCCTAAGAGAGCTGGTAAACATCTAAACAACTTGGCTTTCTGGAAACCAGAGGAGCAATGCTTCCCTCTCCTTCATGCCTCTTCAACCACCACCAGCAGGGTGATCAGAGGGCCACAGAGCAGGCAGTTACCTTCTGAGGCACAAATGCCAGCAAGTCAATTGACTGACTTTTGCAAGTCTGCTTTATCCTCACTCCAGCACCCCTGACGCTCACCCCATAACCTCCAGCCCTTACCCCATACACTTACACACACTCCCCGCCAACACTGATGGTTCCAGTCTAAAGCGAGCGGGATGGCAAGGTGACAGGGGATAAGAAGAGAAGCTAGAATATGATTATGTGAGAAAATGTGCTTTTAGACCAGACTCGCTGGCCCGACAGAGACTGGAGACACCCCGAGAGCACAGCTCCCAGACACCCTTTAACTCAGTACTGAAGTTACTCCTGAGGCTCACCCTTCAGCCAAAGATGACACAGGCCCATAAAACAAAACGAGACTAAAGGGGCACACCAGCCCAGGGGCAAGGACGAGAAGGCAGGCGGGGACAGGAAGACTGGTAATAGGGAACCCAAGGTCGAGAAGGGAGTGTGTTGACATGTCGTGGGGTTGGTAACCAAAGTCACGAAACAATACGTGTATTAATTGTTTAATGAGAAACTAGTTTGGTCTCTGTAAATCTTCATCTAAAGTACAATAAAAATAAAGAAAGAGAGAAAAGAAAATGTGCTTTTAAAGCAGGAAACACATTGAGAGCAGACTCCACATTATAAACCAGATCCTCCATATACGGATAAGATAAATTAGAATCTCGCCAAAATTTTAAAAAAAACTATAACTTTCGTTGAAGGGCCAGTAAAGTTATTGACTATTTTTCCACATGTAAGGCCTTATAACGAAATACAGCTACGCTCTTCGCCCTAAATGTGAGAACAATTAAAACGTCTGCTTACACTCTCCAGGTTGGTCAGAGCTCTGTGTCATCGGTTCGGATCTCTGCCCCTGTGACACAGGTTTCTCACTGGCTGTGAATACCTCATCTAGCTTGGACGATGAGCTTATGACGGTAGAGACTTCCTTTTCTCTTCTACTCTCCTGAACAACTCTGGTGGGAAGAGAGTTTTTATCACATGCAGAGAAATTAAAAATGGAACAACTCTGTGGGCCATCCAGCCCTCCCCTAGGATGGCCCTCTAAAAATGCAGGTTCCATAATTGTGCACTAAGATAAACGCTTTGCCTCAAATTTTCCACTTTAGTCGCTTAGACATGCTCCAAACAGATGATCAGTATGTGGCACCTAGATTCCCTAGGACATAAACAGGGAGTGGTAAAGTTGCATACTATGCTGTAAGTCACAGCTGGATTAGTAAGTCAAGATCCCCACCTAGCACCACTTATAACAGGAACGTGGTTTTTCTTGTTGCTGGACAAAGTGACTTAAATACTCGCAGTAGCTTTTGTTCACAGCACACTAAAGGCTGGTCACAGGGGAAGTCCTTGTGGTAGAAACAGCCTTGGCCCCGGAGTGAGGAGGCCTAGATCCCAGTCCTGCTCGGTGGACAGGAACCAGGGCTGGAAGGAGGGCCAGGGTGTCAGCCTTTCTGGGTCTGCATTTCACCACCATTAAAATGACAGGAGGTCGGCTCACCTCTGAGATGCCTCCACGTCCTAGCCTTCTACAGAGATGACTTTAGAGGACGTAGAGAATGACCCGTGAGCCTTGGATGGGAAATGCGGGCACATGGGCTCTCGAAGCACACAACATGAGCTGGAGTCCCAGCTCCACCACGTGTGAGCTGTGGGGCCCTGGCACATTGCTGAGCCTCCTTGGTGCTGAGGTTAATCATCTGAATAAGGGGATAGTAATGGCACCTATAGCCCTGGTGGCACACTGGTTAAGTGCTCGGCTGCTAACCAAAAGGTCGGCAGTTTGAACCCACCGGCCGCTCCTTGGAAACCCTATGGGACAGTTCTACTCTGTCCTATAGGGTCGCTGTAAGTCGGAATCAACTCGACGGCAACGAGTTTGGTTTGGGTTTAGTACACCAGTAGGTGGTTGGCAGGATGAAATGAGATAATATGTGCAGAACACTTAGAATTTTAAGTGCGTGTTAAATGCTCGTTCTTTCATTATTAACAACAGCTCTGGAGACAATAAGTCTGGGTGCTTCCTGCCCAGACAGCCCAAGCCCACCACACGTCCCTGAGTGTACTTCTCCTTGTCTGCCCCGTCAGCACCGAGACCGAAGGAGCAGGCCGACGGAGCCTGGCCAAGGATGGGGCTGAGGGAACAGCCTGTGGCCCGCGCTTAAATCACTCCCGGCCCTTTTCTGCTCCCGCCCTGTAAGTTCTGCATTTAAATTTGAAACAACAAAAAAGACTGACCTGTAAATTATCGTGATGATAAAGGCCCCAGAGATGATGACGATCAAGGCAGAGAACACCTGCACATAAACTGAAAACAGCTTGGTCTTAACGCCCTGCGTACAGCAAATCCGTCACCGTTAAAAAGAAGTCATCACCCGAGGTGGTAACCTGCAGCCTCTGTCATGTCTCCCTGCTGCTCGCGTCGGCCCAGACCTGATCCTCCAAACACCCATCTTCTCTGGATGCCCACTTCTACAGAGGTTTCCCAAGTCACCCACAGCCTGGCAAAGGCGTCCCATGAAAGGCAGCTCGGGGTGGTGGTGAGAGGCCGCCTGGAGGACACCTCGTAACTCGCCCTGTCCGCTAAGCAGAGGGGTGGCCACGATGGTGCTCCTTCCTGTTCTCCAGAACCCAGCAGACTTTCTCCTTGTGGCTCCTGTTATCTCGGCTTCACACCCCTCCCCCAGCCCCCGGACACTGTTCCTCAATGCTCAGGTCAAATTCTCCCCGGATCTGAATATAAAAAATATGCTTTTTGGATAATAGACAAATTCTATTCGTGTTGACTGAACTTTTCTCTATTTACCAGGGGCTTCCACAATCCCTAAATGGCTTATGCCTTCTCTGAACCTACCCCCCACAAATGAATCAGAGCCTTTCAAGGTGACTTCTTAGGGGGCGACCTCTATTCCCGTTTCTCTGTGTAGGATCATCAGTTTGTGTAATCGTTTCGGCCTGGCTCCACACCCAGGGAAGAGTGAGCTGGAACGAGCAAGTGGGCATGTTAGCTCAGCTCCTTCCTCAGCCCTCCATGGGGGAGGGTCTCTCCCTGCAGGAAGCCCTCCCCTCACAGCAAGCAGGGTGCTGGCTGTGCGGGGGAGGACTGTGGGGCCAGTGCTGCTGAGCAGAGAGCAGGCGTGTCTAATGCTGGGGACTGATATTTTGATGTCCATCTGCTCGGTTCAGGACTCAGGCAGAGCAAAGGGGAATGATTTACCAGGTCCTGTCTACAGGTCGCTGAGTCAGAACTGACTCCGAGAGTTTTGCTGCGGTTGGTCTGTTTTGTTTTGTTTTTTATAGTCAAATAATATTCTCTCCCTACTTTTCATCCTTCTAGATATTCTTCATCAGGTTGCCATGACAAAACAAACACAAAAACTAATGCAAGTAAAATTCTTAGTATACTGCTTGGCCTACAGTATATGTAATGTTTACTGCTGTTATTATTATTCTCTTCTCTAATTGCTTTTTGACTCCTTCAGAGGAAAGAACCTGGCTTACCTACAAATCCGTAACTAAAGTAACCTGACCAACTTCAATCCCCTTATCTCCTTCTCCCTCTAAACTATTTTCAAGGATCCTTAACCAGTAATAATAATACTGTTAGATGTGATTTCCTTGGAAGGTAATAGTTGTGGAGAACAGCTGTAGAGAAAGCTGCCTCCAAGGCATGTGAGGAGGATTCCAATGAGATCTGCATTTCCTAGACACTAGGATCCCACTCCAACTCATCCCGACCCTAGGGTCCTAGGGGTCAGAACTGACCCAACTGCAACGGGTTTAGGGTTTTTTTGTCTGTTTGTTGGCTTAGGATCCTATTATATGAGGGCTGAAGTTAGAAAAGTGATTGGAGGTTGAAGCCAAAATCTTTGACTTTTCTTGTACTGAGGTGATCTCTGTAAATAATGGTTAAGTATACAATGGGTGCTCAATGATCATGAATGGTTAAGTATACAGTGGGTGCTCAATGACTAAGAGCTCATCAAGGAGAGGTTGTGGGGGGGAGAATGAGACTTGGGGTTGCGTTGTTGTCAGATAACAGGCTAGTATACTATAACAAAGATTGAACTGGAAAACTCTTACAGATTCTGTTCCAATGAGTTGGCTTATTTCTTTAAATGGTACCTCTCCAATGGGAATTGGCTTACCCAAGTAGGGAAAAAGGCAAATAGACATTAACAACTTCACGAGGCTGGTTCGTCTTCAAATCTCCAGGGCTACAATAACCAGCCCCCAGGATGGCCTCCAATGATTCACACCTCCTGGTACTTACACCCAAGTATACACCTACCCACACTGAACAGGGTTGATCTCTGTAACCAACAGGTTACCGTGGCAATGCTCCTTCCAAGGCGAGGATACAAAGACATTGCAGCTTCTACTCTACTCTCTTGGATCATTTGTTCTGGGAGAAACCAGCCACCATGTCATAATGACATGCAAGCAGCCCTCGTGGCAAGAAAAAGAGGCTTCCTGTGGATAGCTTGCACTTACTTGCCAGTCATGTGAGTGGGTCATCTTGAAAGAAATCCTCCAGCTCCAGTCAAGCCTTCAGATGAACGCAGTCATGGTTGACATCTTGACTGCCATCTCATGGGAGACCCAGGTCAAAACCACCTAACTAAGCCGCGAAGTTGTTGTTTTAACCACTAAATTTTGGCGTAGGCTGTCACTCAGCAATGGCTACCTAATTCAAGGTTGTAGCACAGGGCTTGGCACAGAGAAAAGTGCACTTCAAGTGACGCTGAATGAATAGAACAAATTAAGTTGAAATGAACAAATAAGGTTTAAAAAAAAAGTGAATAGAGCTTTTAAGGGACAAGAAGGTGACCCTTCAAATTCTTGAATCCCAGGGAATGTGTCTGTGTTAGTGTGATGCTGTGTCTTAGTTCATGAAATAAATTCAGAACTTACACATGAGAGAAGAAACACATATACTTAGTCAACAGTTTATTACTTGATAGTAGGTCTTCTACGATTTTTTGTCATTGATATCAAGCTTGTAAAAGACAGAAACTGAGTATTATTCTCCCCTGTACAGTGTCTATCCTGCAACACTGTTTGTTACAAAGCACCTGCGTGGTTTATCATAAACCATACATTGTGGTTGATAATTCAGAAATAGCAGCAATTGAAGAAAATATTACTTCCTTTAAGGCATACCTTGGTAAATTCTCCCCCTAAAGACAGTTAAACAAAGTTTTGAAATCTTCTCAGCAAGTCCCATAAAGAAACAGAAGTCAAACACTCAGAGGAAATGACATGTTAAATAATGTTCCCCACCATCAAGGCTGAAGAATGAAGGCAAGTCATTCTCTTTGAATTCCCACTCCTTTCTCAAAGATCTAATGTTAATTCCCCAAGTTCATATTCTTAATAATACAGATTATGCCATAACACAATGTACACTTGAAACCAGCCAATTTAAGAAGTTGGTGAAAGGTTTTCATAACATGGAATTATGCACACAAAGAATTCATAATACCCTGTCACCAAATACTACAACTTACATAGCACAAAGGTGCATTCACTGTCTTGAATGAGAAAGATGTCAAAGAAATAAAAAATAATTTGTGATCACAGTGAGAACTCAAGTCTAGGGCTCACTGCCCAGACTCTTTCCACAGATGGCCCAACCCCTCAAGCTTGAACAAAGTCAGAAGTTAAGAAAAAGCCTAGCCCACATGACCCATGTATCAAAATTGGAAGAATGCAATGGGGATTAAAATCTGACTCCATCCAAGAATGACATACCTACTTGCCACACTGTGAGCCCTCTTTAAGTACAAAAACTTCTTGAAAGCTTGTGTTCTCTTCTGGGTTCCTTGTTTTGTTGTTAGGTGTTGTCTAGTCAGTTCCCACTCATAGCTACCCTGTGTACAACAAAATGAAACACTGCCTGGTCCTGTCCCATCCTCACAATCGTTGTTATGCTTGAGCCCATTGTTGCAACCACTGTATCAATCCATCTCATTGAGGGGCTTCCTCTTTTCATTGACCTTCTACTTTACTAGGCATGATGTCCTTCCCAGGGACTGGTCCCACCTAATGACATGACCAAAGTACATGAGATGAAGTCTCGCCATCTTTGCTTTCAAGGAGCATTCTAGATGTATTTCTTTCAAGACAGATTTGTTTTTCTGGCAGTCCATGATATATTCAATATTCTTTGCCAACAACATAATTCAAAGGCATCAATTCTTTGGTCTTCCTTATTCATCTTCCAGCTTTTGCATGCATATGAGGTAACTGGAAATACCATGGCTTGGGTCAGACGCACCTTAGTCCTCAAAGGGACACCTTAGCTTTTTAACACTTTAAAGAGGTCTTTTGTAGTAGATTTGCCCAATACAATACATCATTTGATTTCTTGGCTGCTGCTTCCATGGGTGTTAATTGTGGATCCAAGTAAAATGGAATCCTTGACAACTTCAATCTTTTCTCCATTTATCATGATGTGCTTATTGGTTCAGTTGTGAGGATATTTGTTTTCTTTATGTTAAGGTGTAATCCATACTGAAAGCTGTATTCTTTGATCTTCATCAGTAAGTACTTCAAGTCCTCTTCACTTTCAGCAAGCAAGATCGTGTCACCTGCATATCTCAGGTTGTTAATGAGTCTTCCTCCAATCCTGATGCCCCTTTCTTCTTCATATAGTCCAGCTTCTCGGATTATTTGCTCAGAATACAGACTGAATAAGTATGGTGAAAGGATACAATCCTGATACACATCTTTCTGATTTTAAACCACACAGTATCCCCTTGTTCTGTTTGAATAACTTGCCTTTTGGTCTACGTATAGGTTCCTCATAAGCACAATTAAATGTTCTGGAATTCTCATCCTTCCCAGTGTTATCCATAATTTGTTATGATCCACACAGTTGAATGCCTTTGTATGGTCAATAAAACACAGGTAAACATCTTTCTGCTATTCTCTGCTTTCAGCCAAGATCCATCTGACATCAGTAATGATATCCCTCATTCCACATCCTCTTCTGAATCTGGCTTGAACTCCTGGCAGTTCCCTGTTGATGTACTGCTGCAACTATTTTTTGAATGATCTTCAGCAAAATTTTGTGTGTGATATTAATGATATTGTTCAATGATTTCTACATTCTACTGGATCACCTTTCTTTGGAATGGGCACAGATATGGCTCTCTTCTAGTTGGTTGGCCAGGTAGCTGTCTTCCAAATTTCTTGGCATAGACAAGTGAACACCTCCAGCACTGCATCTGTTTGCTGAAACATCTCAGTTGGTATTCCGTCAATTCCTGGAGCCTTGTTTTCGCAAATGACTTCAGTGCAGCT